TGGAAGTTGACCTATACTTAGAAAGGACTGTGACAGTTTGCCAAACCATAGGGATATATGTTTGCTCAGTATGGTTCTTTATACAAGAAAAGCACACTATTCAAACTACTCTTCATAAATTTTTGCTAAGAAATGGAACTTTAATTTTCATGGTTTCTAACGTTTTAAATTACACTGTATTAAATTAACCTTAGTTTAACATTTTTTTCATCTCCTTATACAAGTGTAACTGACAGACGTTTTAACATTTGACAAAAATTGTTAAAGATCACAGACTTTTCCCCATTATTAATATTTCTTGCATGGTTTCAGACTATATGCTCAGTTTATAGACCTCTAGTACCATGCAAAGCAAGGATTGTTCTGTATGTAAATGGTTCCACTATTTTCCTTATGGATAAATATTTTATTTATTTATCCAGACTTTAGTTACTTGGGGAAGTTCAGGTATATACTTGAAGCTTGTTTCCTTTCCATCCCTTAATATTTCTATTTTTGATTCAGTTGTATCTTTCTTTTTTGTCCTGTGTGGTCATATGTTGATAACCTATTCAAATTAGTGTTAAAAGAAGTATTAAAATTAAAATCTCTCTATTAAAATTAGATTCTAAGCCCCACTTATTATTGGAGTTTTTAGCAAGGCAACTTTCTGTCACAACAAAAATCAAAACAACCCTATAACTCTTAACACTGAGTTTTCAGTCTGTTCTAAAACAATTTGTAAATTTTTCTATTGGTACTTAAGAAATGCGTTCATTTCATTTTCAGTATATTCATCAGAGAAAAATCATATGTTGTTAGTTACTGGACCTTTTTTGTTCTTCCTATGTGGTTATAGGAAGAACAGTGACTCAAATAATATTTTCAAAAGACTATGATATAAACAAATTTTAAAATATAAGCAGTCAGGTTCTTAGATTGGAGCTATGTCAAAACTTGAATGTTGGTCTTTTTTCCCAGGAACATTATTTCCTTCATTTTTTAAAAAAATGTTACAGATTAGTATTTAGAAAACAAATGAGGCCTATAGTCACAAATTAGGGAATAGGGAGACTTTTATACAATAATGGTGCTAACTCCAGAATATTACAGTAGAATAATATTACATTGAAAAATAGCAAAAAGATATTTTCTCCCACTTAGAACCTTTATTTCAATATTAAGAGAGTTGAAATATCATATTAAATAATACTTAGAATCTATTTTCCCCCAAATAACTTAAATTCCTCTTTGTCTTTACATCAATTCATTTATTCATCCAGATCTTTCCATCAATTAATTGATAAGCACTTACTATGTTCTAGACACTGAGCATATCATATTAAAATCATTTAAGAACTTAGGTTTAAACTCTTTGAGGAGCTCATATACCATCTCTAACTCCACCCTGAAGTCTTAATTTATAATCGTGTCTCACCTAGACTGTCATAATAGCCTCCTACCTGATCCACCCTCTTTCCCTTCCACTCATCCCAGAGTCCCCATATTTGTTTCAGGTCATATGCCCATGGGAACGCAAATCTGGTTTTTCTCTGATACATACATCAGTGTTACTTAAATTCTTCCTATGCTTCAAAGCCTGAATTGCCTCTTATAAATGCCTTTGTTTTTCATTGAATGCAGGGTGAAAAGAAAAAAGTGCATTTCTTAACAGATTCTAGTAATTGCAGAATCCTAGCAGGTTAAAGGAAATCTAGCAGTAGTTAAATTCAGCACCATCATTTTACAGATGAAGACTTGGAAACTCATGATATAACTAGCTACTGGCAAAACTGGATCTAGAGTTCAGTGTGCTTGGTCTTTTCATTATTAGTAGTAAACTAACCAAACCAAACCAAACCAAAAACATTTTGTGTTTCACTTAGGCTCTTTTGATTGCAAAGAATGGAGACAGGCTATCTCAAGGAAGAGAGAATTATTTCAATCCTCTCTACAGCACTGAGGGAAAGCGGAGGCCCATGGAGTCTAAAAATATGTATTGTAATATGACTTGGTCTCATGGAGACAGGTACTGATTCAAAGCAGCTCTGAGTATCTTAGCATTAGTTTGCAGCTCTTTTATTATACTTTTCTGTTAGTATTGCTGCTCCCCTCCTCTCTCTGCATCTGCCTTTTTGTGTTACCTGGTTTTCCCTCTGACAACAACTTTCTTTCTCAATAAAGTTTCTTTTCACAATAATTTTTTAAGTTGTACTTTGGCTTTCTTCTCTTTCTCTTATCTTTCCTCTTTGTCAGTCTTTCTAGCTTTAGCTAAGTACCTAAATCAGTCTTTCCTTCCTTCTATTCCCTCCTTCCTTCCTGTTGAACTTATTTTTTAAAAGATTTTAATTGGCCCAGCTTGACCCTGTTTATGAGAAAGTCTCTATTCCAAGTGTCCTTATAGGCTACTGGCCAGACTTCATACTGGCTTCCCTTAGATTGAGTGCCACCTCCTGTGGCTGAGGTAGAGTAGGAGTGAGCTCATGAAGAAAAGATCATGACTGTTTGGTGTTGCCCTCTTATTAAAGGCTGTTGATGAAGAAGAATCTCTTAGGAAGGAATTGTACATTTAGAGGATATTGTGGTCAATGTATCTACTTCACTGTTATAAACTGCTTCAGGGAAAGAAAGCTAACAAAATTGTAGCACCACTATGTTTTGTTTCACCAAGGCTGAGGAGGGAAGAATCTCTGGTCAGAGAAACAGATAGTGGCCAAAGAAAGGGAAGCATATAATTAGACTCAGCAGTACACAGAAATAAAAACGAGGAAGTAAAGATTTAATACAGGTTTTTTGTTTGTTTGTTTGATTTTGAAGAAAAGGAACTAGGCCCATGGCAGAGAGTTTCTCTATCTATATGCCTCTCACCCTGGCTCCTCATTTGTCATCTTCGTGACACTCTCCTAGGAACTACATCCTTCTAGAGCTGCTGCCTCATCCGAGGGAGCTGCAGCCACTATTTTAGTGCTGAGGACATTTATTATTTCCCAGGAGTAAAAAAGTGAAAAAGCTAGGTTTGTGGATATTTTTTATCTGTAGAATCTTAACATTTGGACAGCTGAGAACAGTGTCCCCTGTTTTGTAATTAGGCTGGTATTTAGCTATCTTTTTTAAAAAAAAGTATAAACTCAGAGTGAAACTGTGGGTGTAATAGAGGCCATTGGTAAATGTGTAACTTTAATAACTCCTTTTGTTGGTTTGTCTTGGTTATCTACAATTGAACATTTGATGAGAATGAGGCTATCCTACATTTGAGTTTGAGACAAATATAAAGGCGTATAAAGTAAGTAGAAGGGCGGGTTACTAAGCTCATGATGAATCTGTCAAACCAACATGATTCCACCTTACTACCTACATGACTTTGGTCATATCATTTAATTTCTCAGAGAATTTTCTCATCTGTAAAATTGGAGAAGGAAATGGCAATCCACTCCAGTATTCTTGCCTGGAGAATCCCATGGACAGAGGAGTCTGGCAGTTTACAGTCCATGGGGTCTCAAAGAGTCGGACACAACTGAAGCGACTTGGCACAGCATAAATGGGGAAGATACCTGCTTCATAGGATTGCTATAGAATTAGCCACTTCCTTGTTTTTGTTAGTTTTATTAGTTCAGGGAAGTTTCTTTGTACCTTCCTTCTTTCCCCTCCTCTTTTTTCCCATATTCTTTCTTGTCACTTCTCTGATTTTTAATAGTCTAATCAGGAAAGAACAGAGCTCCCAGAGGACAGGCCATTTCCTCTGCACTCTGGTTTTTTCCTTCTGTTATTCCCTTGTTACTTATATGCTTACATTTACAGATAACACAAAAATTTTTGCCTCCAACTTGCTTTCTTACATTTTCTGATCTTCTCTCTGGTTCCCAAGAGTCTCTCTACTTAAACATTTTCTTATGTTTTAAGTTTATCATCTCAGAAACTGCTTAACTCATTTCCTTATTTTTCAAATAGGCATCTCTTCTAATTTTCCCATTGTCTAACCAGAGTATAATTTCCTTCTCTAATTCATGAATTCGTGTCCATAAGTCCTCAGTGATTAATCCTGAATGACTCTCTTCCCTCTGTTACTCTATATCCTGAAACCCCAAAAACGTATCTTCAGTTTGCTGTACATTAATTTGAAGTTTCTGATATTTGTAAACTATGATTTATTTCAGGTTTTTGAAATTTGCTTAGAATTCTGAGATTCTTTTAAAAAGGAACTTTCTTTTATTCTGTTGTATACAGCAAAATCGAATAAACAGCAGGTTGCCATACTGATTGTTAATTAGAGCTGTATAAATGTGCTGATTCTTTGTTCCTGCCTTTTTTTTTTTTTAGCATCCTTCCTTTTGCTCATAGAATATCTTTCTAGAGCATAAAGGTTGTTATCTCTTTTATATCTTTGAATGTTGATGATAGAGATTAAGATTTGACTTTGATTCTTATTTGGAAAATCTTTTTTGTTACTAATGTCGTTTTTTTAAAAAATTGAGATATAATTGACATATAACATTGGTTATTGATTTCTTAGTCTTATAAACCTCCTTTGGATGGACTTGAGCAGTCTCTTTTATTCACTCATTCACAGAATGTTATGACAATGTTTTAGAGAAACTGCATGAATATGGTCCAGTTTTTCAATAATTACAAACAGAATATATCTGAGAGCATTTCATTTCAGCATTAATGAACTAAAACCAACTTTTAAAAAGCTGCAGCAGAATTGAGCAGACCTATTGCTAGATACCAGCCTTTTATAAATGATGCTGTCTTTTTATTCAATACTATGTAACCATTTTAGTTGCCAACAACAAATCATTCAAATAGCATTCAAAATTAAGAATTATTAATAAGAATATCTTATTTAATAAAATTAAATTTTTATTAAATTAAAAGGATAACATTTAATAAGAAATAGAATAGTAATAATTAAATTTGCATTAATGAGAAAACCTGAAGTTGGGGTGAATGACAACTGTGGTTAGTTATTGGACTCACAAGGGTTTCCTATTCATAGCATGTCTTCACCTTTACCGTTGCAGGGTCTCAAAGGGCATCCAGGACTCCCAGGACTCCAAGGGGAACAAGTAAGTATTCTTCCTTTGTCAGACTTGCATCTCTCCAGTGAAAAAAATATACAGTGGGAACCTCCATTGAGAGATTATTTTTCCACACTTAACTCTTTAAGTTTTTCTTAATGCTTTTAAGGAAACGCTTTTTTTAATGCTTATTTTTTTCTTAATGCTTTCAATTTTCTTAATATCTTTTTCCTGTCAATTTTTCTTAATTCTTTGACTCTTTTAATACAGGAAAAACTTCTAATTTATTATCTACTAAACTTTGTTGATTTTTTTCATATCTTAGACTGACTTTCAACTATCTGTCTAATATGCTCCAGAACAGCTGTCTTAAACTTTTGTTATTCATAAACTCTTGTGAGAATCTTATAAATGCTGTGAACCCTGTCCCCGGATTATCCATACATATGCACACGTGCACACACACACACTCTCTGATTTTCTTGTATGTTTCAGGGACTTGCCTGTTCTCCAAAGTCTATTCACAGCTGTTAGTTCCCTACCCTTGTGTGAAGGAATGCAAATAAGTTTGATAAAAATCCAAATTAGAATGGCAGTATGCTATTTTTTGTTCATTCCGTATATACACACATATGTTAAAGTCAAAATAGTTTGGGAACTGTTTAGTTTCTAATCATGTTATTTCTTCTTTCTCCCACCAGAAAATAATATATCATTATGTCACAGGAAAAAATAAAGTCAAATTTCTTGTTTTCAATACAATGTGTACTAGGCCAGTATGAATAAATCAGTGAAAAGGGTGGGAGATTAGATACTTACTAAGGTGACAAATCATTACTGGAGATTTAGCAAAGAGCCTCAGAAAGCCCTAAGGGGAGCTCCAGAAAGAAAAGTGATGGATTATCCCTGAGGGAAAGACAAATAAAGAAATAAAGCCAATTTTTTCTTTTGTTCATTCAAGTTAGAGGAATAGTAACCTCTGTTAAGTCCCTGAGGCACAGTTTTTCAAGATTGCTAACTACTGGACATGGTAAGAAAAGCAATATATGTATTTGTAGCAAGTACAATCTTAATTTCTTCAGTACTTAACAATCTCAAGTACAAGATCAAATGAGTGCTGAAAAGCATTTGAGCATTTGTAGGAAAAAAAAAAAAAAACAGAGCAAGAGGGAAAGAGAGATTAGATCCTGGGGAAGGGAAAAAATTCCTAGAACACTGCTTTGGCAAAAATGTGTGGATTCCAATGAAGAAAACCTGACACATCACAAGTGAGTGAAAAAACTCACCGTTTGTCAGTACTGACCAATTTTCTCATAACTGCTCTGTTATCTAGTTCCATTAGAATATATGTCCTAGTTCTGAGGGTGGTATGCTTGTGAGAAGAGTCTAAAATCAATTTTAAAGATCGGAACATGTATTATTGGAATCAGTTCTACTTTATATAATTCTAGAAGGAAAAAGACAAAATTGGTGATAACTGCGAGGAACAACTAAAATCATTTTGCATTTTAACTGTTGGAAACACTGTGGACATTAAGAGGAACATGACTAATTGCTAGGAGACATTCCCTTCTGGAAAATTTGTAAATATCTATTAACTGGCCAGAAACATTTAGGAAAGTAATTATATCATCTGTGTAAGCTCTAGTATTAAGAGCTGTCATTTACTGAGTCTTTATTGGCTGCCAAACTGTACTACTGTTAACTGGAACTTCAAGTAGTATAATTGTGTATCGAATATTTCCATATGTTAACTCATTTGACCCTCCACAACACTAAGAATTATTATAGTTACCCCTGCTTTTAAATATATTTTCCCACATAGTTCTATTTTCTCTACATTATAATCCTGTGACCTAGATATTACCATTGTATTTTACTAATGAATAAATGAAGACATAGGGAGGACCCATGCTAACAGTGTTTGGACTGTCAATGAAGTCTGACTCAGAGAGTCAGCTTTAATTCTTCAAGTGAGAAGTGGGATTGGGACAAGTTTACTATTCCTGATTTTTCCAGGAGTAGAGAGATAGCCCTGTGTCTAAGTTACTCCAGACAATCTACAGATTAAAGTGAGCCACTTTTTAAATGCAGAGTGAATTGAGTTACAGTGTTTCTTTTGAGTCTTTTGAGCTCTGTAGTTGTCCAAGTGATTTTAGGGTGTGGTTGGCTTAGAGTATGTTTATGCCACATACAACTGCTGAAAGCTTACTTACTGACTTTATTTACTGCTGCTCCAGGAGAGCAGGATTCAGTCATCGAATAGAGTCCTTCTGTGTATTTCTCTGTGCAGCTGGAATGTGTTATATCTCTACATGTTGTCTCAACACCCTCTATGAAAATCTGTTCAATATCAGATTTCATTTATGTCTTAAAACAGATTGTTTTTTAATTGAGGCTGGCTAACCTAATTTGACAACAGACTGGTTCCAAATAGGAAAAGGAGCACGTCAAGGCTGTATATTGTCACCCTGCTTATTTAACTTATATGCAGAGTACCTCATGAGAAACGCTGGGCTTGAAGAAGCACAAGCTGGAATCAAAATTGCCGGGAGAAATATCAATAACCTCAGATATGCAGATGACACCACCCTATGGCAGAAAGTGAAGAGGAACTAAAAAGCCTCTTGATGAAAGTGAAGGAGGAGACTGAAAAAGTTGGCTTAAAGCTCAACATTCAGAAAACTAGAATCATGGCATCTGGTCCCATCACTTCATGGCAAATAGATGGGGAAATAGTAGAAACAATGTCAGACTTTATTTTGGGGGGCTCTAAAATCACTGCAGATGGTGATTGCAGCCATGAAATTAAAAGACACTTACTCCTTGGAAGGAAAGTTATGCCCAACCTAGATAGCATATTAAAAAGCAGAGCCATTACTTTTCCAACAAAGGTCCATCTGGTCGAGGGTATGGTTTTTCCAGTGGTCATGTATGGATGTGAGAGTTGGACTGTGAAGAAAGCTGAGTGCAGAAGAATTGATGCTTTTGAACTGTGGTGTTGGAGAAGACTCTTGAGAGTCCCTTGGACTGCAAGGAGATCCAACCAGTCCATCCTAAAGGAGATCAGTCCTGGGTGTTCATTGGAAGGACTGATGCTGGAGCTGAAACTCCAATACTTTGGCCACCTCATGCGAAGAGTTGACTCATTGGAAAAGACCCTGATGCTGGGAGGGATTGGGACAGGAGGAGAAGGGGACGACAGAGGATGAGATAGCTGGATGGCATCACCGACTCGATGGGCATGAGTTTGAGTAAACTCCGGGAGTTGGTGATGGACAGGGAGGCCTGGCATGCTGCAATTCATGGGGTCGCAAAGAGTCAGACACAACTGAGCGACTGAACTGACCTGAACCTAATTTGGCTAGGAAACTAATGAAAGGGATGGTGGTTGCCATTAACCAGAACCTACAGAATAAAATCAGCGTTTTATGTTTATTTCACTCTTTCCTATTGTCATAACCAAATATAAGGTTTTTGTGGAGGTCTGGCTATAGGCCTGTATGTTTTAAAGTTGGATGGGAAATAGAAGAAGCATTTGTAAATAGACTGAAGCAAATCTCATGATTAGAGGGCTTTCCTTTGAGTACTACTATAAGTTATTTACACTTCAAACCTCCACTAGGGAGACAGCCTTTAATGGTGGTCTCTGGAGTTAGACTTGCTGATTTAAATTCTGACTTTCTAAATAGCTGAGTGACTTTTCACTGGTGGCAAACACATCATGTCTTATTTTTTCATCTGTAAAATAGGGCTAATGATATCTACCTTATAGGGTTTGGGTAGATTAAATAAGATAATACATATAAAATACTTGAAATTGTGCTTGGCATTTAAGTGCTCAATAAACATTATATGAATAAAATATATACTATGTAAATGTTAATAAGGTAATTTCTAGTACATAAGTATAGTTTCTGAAATTCACAGGATATAATCTCTACATGTAGATGAGAATTTTCTGTAATTCTCAGATCACTCTTTATTCACATTCTGTATATGTGTGTGTGCATATACACATGACAACTTTTGTCAGATCATCTGGATTTACATTCAGGATCTGCTACTTACTATGCCATCTCGGGCACATTTCACAACTTCTGTGTATCTTTCTTATTTCAAATGTAGAATGAAGAACATAGTATCTATCATACTTTATATCATAGATATAAAGTAGCTGTAAATCACATTGCATGGTGATGTGATTAGCACATAAAAACGTGTTGAAGTGAAGTGAAAGTCACTCAGTCATGTGTGACTATTTGTGACCCTATGGACTATACAGTCCATGGAATTCTCCAGGTCAGAAGGAGTGAGTAACCTTTCCCTTCTCCAGGGATCAAACTCAGGTCTCCCACATTGCAGGTGGATTTTTTATCACCTGAGCCACAAGGGAAATCCAAGAATACTAGAGTGGGTAGCCTATTCCTTCTCCAGTGGATCTTCCCGACATTGGAATCGAACCAGGGTCTCCTGCATTGCAGGCGGATTCTTTACGAACTGAGCTATGAGGAAAGCCCAACACACAGAAAAAAATGTTAAGTAAATAGTAATTGTTGAAGCAAGGAAAGGAAGGGGGAGAGAAAAGGGAGAAAACAAAACTGAGAAATGTATTCTGAGAAAGGCGGAGAGAAGGACATATTAGGAGAATACGAGTCTGATAGAATGGAAGGGTGAAAACTTTCAACTGTGATCCTTCATTTGCTCTTTCTTGGACTATTTTTTCTCTAGATTTTTCAAATTTCAGGAATTTTATAGTGTTTCTATGGTTAAACTAGAGAAATTAGTACAATCTTCTGTATGCTTCAGAGCAGAGGGGCAAAGGACTAGTGTCCTTTGTATTAGTATTATTATCTAATACAACCAACCAACAGGAAGAGTTTTTACAGAATAAAGAATCCATAAAAATTATCACTGCTATCATCATTTCAGTTCAGTTCAGTCACTCAGTCGTGTCTGACTCTTAGTGACCCCGTGGACTGCAGCACACCAGGCTTCCCTGTCCATCACCAACTCCTGGTACTTGCTCAAACGCATGTCCATCGAGTCAGTGATGCCATCCAACCAGCTCATCCTTTGTTGTCCCCTTCTCCTCCCCCCTTCAGTCTTTCCCAGCATCAGGGTCTTTTCAAATGAGTCAGTTCTTTACATCAGTTGGCCAAAGTAGTGGGGTTTCAGCTTCAGCATCAGTCCTTCCAATGAATATTCATGACTAATTTCCTTTAGGATTAACTGGTTGGATCTCCTTGCTGTCCAAGGGACTCTCAAGAGTCTTCTCCAACACTACAGTTCAAAAGCTTCAATTCTTTGGTGCTCAACTTTCTTTATAGTCCAACTCACATCCATACATGACTACCAGAAAAAACATATTTGACTAGATGGACCTTTGCTGACAAAGTCTGTGCTTTTTAGTATGCTTTCTAGGTTGGTTATAGCTTTTCTTCCAAGGAGTAAGCATCTTTTAATTTCATGGCTGCAGTTACCATCTGCAGTGATTTTGGAGCCCCAGAAAATAAAGTCTGTCATTGTTCCCATTGTTTCCCCATCTATTTGCCATGAAGTGATGGGACCAAAGGCTATGATCTTAGTTTTCTGAATGTTGAGTTTTAAGCCAACATTTTCACTCTCTTCCTTTACTTTCATCAAGAGGCTCTTTAGTTCTTCTTTGCTTTCTCCCATAATGGTAGTGTCATCTGTCTATCTGAGGTCATTAATGTTTTTCAGAAGTCTTGATTCAGCTTGTGTTTCATCCAGCCTGGCATTTCACATGATGTACTCTGCATATAAGTTAAATAAACAGCATGACAATATACAGCCTTTACGTACTCCTTTCCCAATTTGGAACCAGTCTCTTGTTCCATGTCTGGTTCTAACTGTTGCTTCTTGACCTGCATACAGATTTCTCAGGAGGCAGATAAGGTGGTCTGGTATTCTTATCTCTTTAAGAATTTTCCACAGTTTGTTGTGATCCACACAGTCAAAGGCTTTGGCACAGTCAATAAAACAGAAGTAGGTGTTTTTCTGGAACTCTCTTTTTCAATGATCCAGTGGATGTTAGCAATTTGATCTCTGGTTCCTCTGCCTTTTCTAAATCCAGCTTGAACATCTAGAAGTTCACAGTTCACGTACTGTTGAAGCTTGACATGGAGAATTTTGAGCATTACTTTGCTAGCATGTGAGATGAGTGCAATTGTGTGGTAGTTTGAACATACTTTGGCATTGCCTTTTTTACATTTCTTTTTGGCATTTCCTTAGTTCACAAGTTATGTGTTAGACCTAAATGAATGAATGAATCTTGTATCAGTGGAAGAAAGTAACAACATATGAAGGTATTTCTTCTCACTTTTCCACAGCGTTCTGCAGCAAGTTTCCTTTCTTATCTGTTTGAGTCTCCATATATCAGCCTTCCTTGAATAAACTGGGTTTTAAATCAGGCACAGAAGGTTGTCAATTCAAAGTGAGTTTCCCATTCAAAATTGCTATGTGAACTTTTAGATATACCTATGTCATAATACAGGTATTTAACACTTAATATCCATTTACCTACCTTCTGAAGCTTATGTTCTGATAATTAAGGGGAGTTGCAGGATGGCTGAGACAAGGAGTTCAATCTGTGAAGATAGTGGTTATTACATAATGTATCAACTCTTTCTCTAATGTAAATGTTTTTTTAAAATTCATGTATCACTGAATTTTTTAATCCTGTGTTTATCTGCATTTATCCTACATTTAAGAATCAGTATCTCATTTAGGTCCCTAATCTAATAGTTGTATTCATTTTTATTTAGCAATTTATCTCATTTTCTTTTTTTTTTCAATTTGAAAGCAGTCAATGTTTCCTAACTGACGAGATTAGAAAAATAATCATGGTAGATACCTTAGTTCATCCTTCTATTAAGCCTGTTTATATGGTCTTCCCTGTTGCCAGCATCTCCAGCTTCTACAAAATGCATGGCCCTTTTCTTCATCTCACCTCACAGAGAAGACAGTTTGAAGGCCCATAGGAAGTTGTTTGCTTCTTTGAAATGTTTTCCAACAGTACTGATCTCATGAATCAGATGACCTTCATGTAGATAATGCCATATTTGCCAAGAGACCAGTGATCAACACATTATCTGTCAGGAGAATTCACTGCTTGTTGATTTTGATCAGTTAATTTACTGACTTCAGGTTTGGGCAACCCCATGCAATGTATTCTTGCCTTGAGAATCCCATGGACAGAGGAGCCTGGCAGGCTACAGTCCATGGGGTTGCAAGAGTTGGGCACAACTTAGCAACTAAACCACATGCAATGTATGGGTCCACCCTTCTCAGCATGTTAACTGAAACCTTGTTGAACTTCAGGAGGTGCCATTGAACATCTGACAGAGGCAAAGTTGCAACGCCTTTCGAATCTTTGATATCTCTGTTCCTGATGACAAGTGCCAATTTGGGTGCTGTGGGCACATAGGAGTTGCTGGCTTTTCTTGCCATCCTAGCCATTTGAATTTCTGTTCTGTATATCTGCTTGCCTTCTTTGTGATAGGACTTAGCTTTTTCATAGATAAACTTTTTGCCTTTCAAAGCATCTTTTAGGCAAATTATTTCTCAGCACTTGATCTTAAGCTCTGTGAAATTCTTTTGATTTTTCTTAAGGATTTCTGGCATAGCAGGAACCTTTTATTCCTTCTCTTCTGCACCCTCCATGGCTCCAGCCAGGAAAGAGGACATTTTCATTTTAAATAGATGACTTCAGTCAGATCAGCAACATGCAGGACTCTTCATATTTTTATATGGAAAAATATTCTTTAAAAACTTGGGTATTATGAATATCCCAAGTTTGCTTTCTTTGGCTTCTTTGGTCTTTGCTGTATTTTTTATTATTTTATTTTTCATTTTAGGGAATTCCAGGATTCACTGGTAATATTGGTTCACGTGGTTATCCTGGCAGGCAGGTGAGGTAACTATATTTAAACTTTTCTTTTTATGTCTCTCTTGGTTAATGCATTGTATGTTCCAATTTCAAGAGTTAATGTTCAAATGATAATTGGTTTTATTTTATTAAATAATGAATTACTCATAGCAAAATGATTCCAAAAAATTCTAATATAAAATTGTAAAAATTCTTCAAAAATTTTATTGCAGAAAAATTTTACTTAAAATGAGAGTGGGATTTTTTTTAAACAAGTTTGATATGATATTCACTGGAACTTTTTAAATTAAAATGGCCAAGTAGGCTAATAAAATGTTAAACAGTGTTGCTAAATGAAGTAATGATATGAGTTAAGACTCTCTTTGATATGCAACATTTTTTAATAATGCAATTATAAACACTTGGGACATAGTTGCCAGTGCTACATATACCACTATCTGAATACCTTTTATCTAAATTGGATTCAAGTCTTTGTATACTGTTTTGAAAATTCATATTAATCATTTCATATTTATTTACCTCTAATGTCTAACTTTCTCTAGCTATTTCTTTTTTTTTCTAGTTATTTCATATAGGCTAATAAGAGAAAAAAATTTTCTTTCCTAGGCTTTCATTAATTACTTACTCTTGAAATTAATTGTTCATTTAGCATACTAGAAAACTGTATTTATATAAAATATATTTTTTGTTCTCTAGAATTAGGGAATTGAAAATGCCAGAAGATAATCTAGTGTTAATAAAATTCCATTTTTAAATCTTTAAAGTATGTGGAGGGTATTACATGAGTCTTAGTACCAAGTAATGTTTTGTGTTTATCTGAAAAATATATAAATACTCAGACATATGGAAATTTATCTGAAGTTAAAAAATGTACTTATTTTTTAAAGTAGGAATATATTTTAGATAAGTGAATTAGAACTGTTCTAAAAGAACAGGGTTTTCCAATGAGAAATAACTGAAATAATTGTGTCTGACAGTTGTGTTAATGTACTTTATTTAGAAATCTAAAATATATTTGTGTATAGATTATATACACTGGCTTTTTTGGTTCTGAAATTCTAAAATCCCTAAAATGTATATGGTCTTCACTAAGTATACAGTTCTGAAATTTATACTTGTAAAAATGATATCTTTTATTTGCCCCTTTTTTATTAATTATCAACAACTCTTTAAAAAGTACTAGAGAATGATGGTGATGTTTTTTGTTTGCACTAGGGTTTAGCTGGACCAGATGGTAATCCAGGACCTAAAGGTGTACGAGTGAGTAAGCATTTTCATCGTTTTGTTAAGTATGCTTAAATGTAAGTAGAATGACATATACAAAATACTTATTTTCACACTTCCACACTTCTATTACTTTGAATGTAATGTGGGTTTAGCCTGGAAAGAAGTATACTTATTTTTCCTTTTTAGATTTGGAAAACATTTTTTTTTCTTCCCCCCCCCAATTATTTTTATTAGTTAGAGGCTAATTACTTTACAATATTGTAGTGGTTTTTGCCATACATTGACATGAATCAGCCATAGATTTACATGTGTTCCCCATCCTGAACCCCCCTCCCACCTTCCTCCCCATCCCATCCCTCTGGGTCATCCCAGGGCACCAGCCCCGAGCACTTGTCTCATGCATCCAACCCGGACTGGCGATCTGTTTCACACTTGATAATATACATGTTTCGATGCTGTTAATCACAAATGGGACTTAATTAAACATAAAAGCTTTTGCACAACAAAGGAAACTACAAGCAAGGTGAAAAGACAGCCTTCAGAATGGGAGAAAATAATAGCAAATGAAGAAACAGACAAAGGATTAATCTCAAAAATATACAAGCAACTCCTGCAGCTCAATTCCAGAAAAATAAACAACCCAATCAAAAAATGGGCCAAAGATCTAAACAGACATTTCTCCAAAGAAGACATACAGATGGCTAACAAACACATGAAAAGATGCTCAACGTCACTCATTATCAGAGAAATGCAAATCAAAACCTCAGTGAGGTACCATTACACACCAGTCAGGATGGCTGCTATCCAAAAGTCTACAAAAAATAAATGCTGGAGAGGGTGTGGAGAAAAGGGAACCCTCTTACACTGTTGGTGGGAATGCAAACTAGCACAGCCGCTATGGAGAACAGTGTGGAGATTCCTTAAAAAGCTGGAAATAGAACTGCCATATGACCCAGCAATCCCACTCCTGGGCATACACACCAAGGAAACCAGATCTGAAAGAGACACGTGCACCCCAATGTTCATCACAGCACTGTTTATAATAGCCAGGACATGGAAGCAACTTAGATGCCCATCTGCAGACGAATGGATAAGGAAGCTGTGGTACATATACACAATGGAATATTACTCAGCCATTAAAAAGAATTCATTTGAATCAGTCCTAATGAGGTAGATGAAACTGGAGCCCATTATACAGAGTGAAGTAAGCCAGAAAGATAAACACCAATACAGTATACTAACCCATATATATGGAATTAAGAAGGTATACTTATTTAATATGCATCTTTATTGTTAAGGCCAAAGAGAGCAGTCTTACAGTGGTAGTTCTTGCATCATTCTTTGATAGCTCCTACATATATATTATGTATATTATTTTTCTAGCCCCTTGAAAAATGGTATGTTACACCATTTCTGGTATGTTAGAAATACACTCTATAAGCATTTGTAGTATTTTTTCTATGTGACTGTATGTAAACTTAAGAAGTCACAGCGAAAGTAATGTGAAGAGACAAAAAAATTCCTATTCAAGGCTGAAGTAATAATACAGAAACTATCTGGACTAAAGAAATAGCTGCAAGAAAGAAACTTACATGTTCAAAAGAACATACTTTTCTACTTCTAACCATTAAAATCAAAGTTGATTCTAGGAAAAATTTATAAAACTAAAATTTTTCTTTTTTAATTCTCTATTTAATAGCCAGTTATTTTCCAGAATCTATATCTTCCTTATATTACCTAAAATAAGTTTTAGAAATAAGGAAAACAAAAAATATTCAAACAGTATGTGCTATTGTTGTTGTTATTTAGTCGCTAAGTCATGCCAACTCTTTGCAAACCCATGAATTGCAGCACACTAAGCTACCCTGTTCTTCACTATCTCCTGGAGTTTGCTCAAACTCATGTCCATTGAGTCAGTGATACCATCCAACCATCTCATCCTCTGTCGCCCCTGTCTCCTCTTGCCCTCAATCTTTCTTAGCATCAAGGTCTTTTCCAAGGAGTCGCCTCTTCGCATCAAGTAGCCAAATTTTTCGAGCTTGAACTTCAGCATCAATCATTCCAATGAATATTCAGGATTGATTTCCTTTAGGATTGACTAGTTTGATCTTGCTGTCCAAGGGACTCTCAAGAGTCTAGAGTCTTCGCCAGCACCACAGTTTTAAAGCAGCAATTCTTTGTTGCTCTGCCTTCTTTATGGTCCAACTCTTATATTCGTACATGACTACTGGAAATATCATAGCTTTGACTAGATGGACCTTTGTTAGCCAAGTGATGTCTCTGCTTTTTAATATACTGTCTAGGTTGGTCATAGGTTTTCTTCAAAGGAGCAAGTGTCTTTTAATTTCGTGGCTGCAGTCACCATTCACAGTGATTTTTGGAACCCAAGAAAAGAAAATTTTTCACTGTTTCCCCTTTTTCTCCATCTCTTTGCTATGAAGTGATGGGACAATGATACCTTTGTTTTTTAAGCCAACTTTTTACTCTCCTCTTTCCCCTTCATCAAGAGGCTCTTTAGTTCCTTTTTGTTCTCTGCTATGAAATTAGTATCATTTGCATGTCTCAGGTTCTTGATATTTCTCCCAGTAATCTTGTTTCCAGCTTGTGATTCATCCAGCCTGACATTTCACATGATGTACTCGTCTTAGAAGTAAATAAACAGGTGACAACATACAGCCTTGATGTACTCCTTTCCCAATTTTGAACCAGTCCATTGTTCCATGTCCAGTTCTAACTGTTGCATCTTGTCCTGCATACAGCTTTTCAGGAGAGAGATAAGGTGGTCTGGTGTTCCTGTCTCTTTAAGAATTTTCCGTAGTTTGTTGTGATCCACACAGTCAGAGGCTTTAGTATAGTCTACGAAGCAGAAGTAGATGTTTTTCTGGAATTCCCTTGCTTTTTCTATGATCCAGCTGATGTTGGCAATTTGATCTCTGGTTCCTCTGCCTTTTTAAAATACACCTTGAACATCTGGAAGTTCATGGTTCACATACTGCATAAGCCTAGCTGAAGGATTTTGAGCGTTACTTTGCTAGCATGTGAAATGAGTGCAATTGTACAGTAGTTTGAACATTTTTTGGCATTACCTTCCTTTGGAATTGGAATGAAAACTGACCATTTCCAGTCTTGAGGTCACTGCTGAGTTTTCGTAATCTGTTGGCATATTGAGTGAAGCACTTTAACAGCATCATCTTTTAGAATTTGAAATAGTTCATTTGGAATTCCATCACCTTCACTGGCTTTATTCGTAGTGATGTTTCCTAGGGCCACTGAACTTCACATTCCAGGCTATCTGGCTCTAGGTGAGTGACCACACCATTTTGTGGTTATCTGGGTCATTGCTGTTGCGGCTGCTAAGTAACTTCAGTCGTGTCCGACTCTGTGCACACCCACAGATGGCCCCCCACCAGGCTCCTCCATCCCTGGGATTCTCCAGGCAAGAAAACTGGAGTGGGTTGCCACTTCCTTCTCCATCTGGGTCATTAAGATATTTTTTTATATAGTTCTCCTGTGTATTCCTGCCGTTTCTGTCCTTTATTGCGCCCATCTTTGCATAAAGTATTCCCTTGGTATCTACAATTTTCTTGAAGAGATTTCTAGTCTTTCCCAGTCTATCATTTTCCTTTATTTCTTTGCATTGCTCACGTAAGCCTTTGTTATTTTTTTTGCTATTCTCTGGAACTCTGGAACTCAGTTGGTATATCTTTCGCTTTCTCCTTTGCCTTTCTCTTCTCTTCTTTTCTCAGCTATTTGTAACGCCTCCTCAGACAACCATTTTGCCTTTTTGCATCTCTTTTTCTTGGGGATGTTTTTGATCACCTCCTGAACAGTGTTGCAAACCTCTATCCATAGTTCTTCTGGCACTCCATCTACTAGATCTAATCCCTTGAATCTGTTTTTCACCTACACTGTATATTCATAAGGGGTTTGATTTAGGTCATACCTAAATGGACTAGTGGTGTTCCCTACTTTCTTCAATTTAAGTCTGTATTTGCAATAAGGAGCTCATGATCTGAGTCACAGTCATTCCCAGGTTTTGTTTTTGCTGACTGTGTCTAGTTTCTTCATATTCAGCTGCAAAGAATATAATCAATCTGATTTCGGTATTCACCATCTGATGACATCTGTATATAGAGTTGTCTCTTGTATTGTTGGCAGAGAGTGTTTGCTCTGACGAGTGTGTTCTCCTGGCAAAACTCTGTTAGCCTTTGCCCTGCTTCATTTTGTACTCTAAGGCCAAGCTTGCCTGTTACTCCATGTGTCTCTTGGCTTCCTACGTTTGCATTCCAGTCCCCTATGATGAAAAGGGCATCATTTTTTGTTGGTAGTTCTAGAAGGCCTTGTAGGTCTTCATAGAACTGTTCCACTTCAACTTTTTGGCATTAGTGGTTGGGGCATAGACTTGGATTACTGTGATGTTGAATGGTTTGCCTTGGAAACGAACAGAGATCATTCTGTCGTTTTTGAGACTGCACCCAAGTACTTCTCTTTTTGACTATGAGGGCTTCTCCATTTCTTCTAAGGTATTCTTATACACAGTAGAAGATATAATGATCATTTGAATTAAATTCGCCCATTCTCGTCTATTTAAGTTCACTGATTTCTAGAATGTCATTGTTCACTCTTGCCATCTCCTACTTGACCACATCCAATTTACCTTGATTTATGGGCCTAACATTCCAGGTTCCTATGCAGTATTGTTCTTTACAGCATTGGACTTTACTTTAACCACCACACATATCCACAGCTGAGCAACATTTCTGCTTTTGCCCAGCCTCTTCATTCTTTCCAGAGCTATTTCTCTGCTCTTCCCCAGTTGCCTGTTGGACACCTACCAACCTGGGGGGCTCATCTTCTGGTGTCATATACTTTTACCTTTTCATTGTGTTCATGAGGTTCTTAAGGCAAGAATACTGAATTGGTTTGCCATTCACTTCTCCAGTGGATCACATTTTGTCAGGCCCTGACTAGCAGGTGCATGCCCGTCAGTAGCTCCATGTAGCCAGAAAACATGTGTTTTAATGTATGTGCTATAATGATGCTTTAATTTTTAAAAAATTCTTAAACATTTTCAAATATTTCATGTATATTTTCTTCTTTAATTTTGCCATCAATCCTGTGAAATAGGAGAACACATATATTGTCTCCATTTTACAGATGAGAAAACAGTAAGCTGTGGAACTGACATGGTTTGATCTAGTCCTAGCAGAACTCAAACCAACATCTTCTCACCTTTAGCTCTGTACTTTTCCACTATCCTGTGCTGTCTCTACCCTTGCACTAAGTGAAAATATAATGGGGGAAAGTGATGTATATTTTATTAAAGCTTCACTGAATGCACATACTTACTTGGATTTGGAAAACAAGGAGAGATTACTGGATAAGAACATGAGCTTTGGAGTTAGACAAGACTGCTCCCCCACCAACCCCCACCACCAACCCCTCATTTACTAGCTTTGTGACTTTCGATGCCATTAATCTCTTCTGTGTCTCATTTTTCTTAACTTATTAAAAGGTGAAAATGAAACTTACCTCTAGGTGCTTATGAGAACTACCTGAGCTTAATATTCCTAAAGCACAGTGCCTACCACATGGCATGCACTTTCTCTGCAGATTTTATCATCATTCTAGAATTTGGGAGTTACTTGTGTGTGTGAGCTAAAGTTGTAGACCTGTTATTTGGCGCTGTGCAGTTTTCTTTTACTACATTTTCTCATCTTGCTTCTGTGCTTTCTTTAACTTTTCCAAGTTCTTCTTTGTGTCATTTTTGTATCATATTATCTATCCTTTTGTTCCTTTTTCCTCCATTTGTGTTGAAAATTACTCTCTAGGGTGTAACCCTTTTTAAGTTTTTTTATGTTTTGATGGCAACTTCATGAAAGCATTAAAAAAAAACCTAATCCTTTTCTGACTAATTTAATTGATTTAATCCTTTCATTTTCCTTTGGGAGTGAGGGAAGAGTCAGCAGAGCCATTTCTCTAGGTTTCATATTCACAGAGTCCAAATGTAACCTTTGATATTATTAATAACTACAAATGTTCAAAAAACAAAATTTGTTCAAAACAAATGTACACTGACAGGATTATGTTTTTTATTTAATTTGTGTCCTATTACTGGATAATATCACATGCTATATACTATAAATTAATATTTTTATAAATCATGTGATAAATTATCTTTTGAATCTCCCTATTGTTTGGTTGCATTTTCTGGTGTTAAAATAATTATTTTTAAAATGTAAATGTTTGAAATCATTTTGCAACCCTCCTTTAGTATCTCTTTGTGTAATAACTGGCCAGGTATCTCAAAAAGTAGAAGTATATAAGCCTCTCCTGATGTTTTTATTTGCCCTGATGGTGACAGAATTGCCTCTGTCTTACACAATACAGAATTGCCTCTGTTTGGATATACAAACTTCAATCCAAGAAGCAAAGCTGTGTGTATTAGTATTATTTTTTTTTAATGCTCCTTGTTTCTTTACACCCTAAACTCCAGTTTAGTGGTAGTTTTTAGAATGATGACAAACCCATGTGATTTCTTTGTTGGATGCTGCTGACATTTTACTTCTGTTATAATTATTATAAAATTATCAAGAAACTTTTCTGAAACAGCTACATAATGATACATAGCATTGTTCCCTTTAAAATCTTTATTTCTAAAATGTTGTGCTGGTTCTGTGCAGACTGTGTTAAGTAGAGGTCTGACTTTTCAGCTCCTGAGTTTTCAACTGAGTTGAGTGTTTGTTGTTTTTATTTATAAGCAAAATTTCAGTTGTGTATGTTAAAGTAAAAGTTAACTGTTTTTAAATTTGAGACCATCTGTAGCTGATGATTCTGAAATACATGTAGCTTGCCCTCATAATCCTAAATGTTTTGGTAGTCAGAAATACTTTTGGATGCTTCATTTTTAAAGAAAGTTTCTCTATACTCCAGATGCTTGACTTTAAAGCAAACAAATTATAGATATATTATCATTAAAGTTAACTAGAAGGAAACCAATTATCTTTTATTTGTTGCTTGTTCATAAAGGTGTTTTTCCTTGTCAAAGAAAAGTGTTCATCCTACCATGGTAGCACCCAACTATTTTTCACCTGCATGGAATGCCTTTCCTATCCTTCAAGACTCAGCTCAAAAGTTGCCTCCTCTGCAAAGCTTTCCTAAACCTTCCCTCTAGACAGTATTGGTTATTCTGCCAGTCAAAGTTTCTGTTGTGTTTTGTGTTTATCTTATCACCTGTCACATAATCATGTCACAATTATCTTATGATATGACAGTTATTTGTATGACTTCTTCCTAATAAACTATCAGCTTCTCGAGGACACTGATTTTCATATTCATTTTTATAATCCCAATTCCTGGCACACACTGGGCACTAAAGTCATGTTTTGTGCATCAGTGATCCAGACTCATGTTCTTTCAAATATGGACCAGTGCAGCTGTATTTTAACAAGATTTCCTACATTCAGTGTTTGCTGTCTGGGGTGTATTCTATATTCTATCAACAGCTTAATATTTTAGAGAAACAGCTTAAGATCAGGTCATTACCATACTCCCTCAGTGTCCAGTAGTTTCCAGTTATCTAAAATGTAAAGTCTAAAATTCTTAGGCTGAAATTTAAGGCTTTCCTTAATCTGTTCTCTAAACTACCATACACTTGATTCATTAAATTGATGAAACAGGTTATTATTTGCCACAGGTGAGGTGTAACTAAGGTGTGGTAGTACAGAGTAGCCTGCACTGTTACTTAGATGCAGCCCTTGTTTCTCAGACCAGTGGGAACCTCCATGAAGGCAGTGTGGGGCTGCTTTTCTCCAAAGCGCCTCACTCATAAGAAGCTGTCAGTTAACCATTTATAAGCACTCCTGTGGTCCTCTCTGTCTTGTTTCTGCTTACTGTGGTTCTGCCTGTAGTGTTCTTGCTCCATTATCTGCTGATCAGTATCTTACCCACTCTGTAGGCCTATCTCAAGTGCCAGTCTTCTTTGAAATCTTCTTCGATTGTCTTTACCTCCTGCCGCATTGGAATGACTCTCTCCCTCCTCCATATTTCTTGTTCTTGGATACCTCCTTTCTGCCTTACATTTTAGTTAATTGTATATCTGTATTTTCTGCCCTTTGTAATATTCAGTGTAGAAACGAACTTAGGCTTGTTGATTTTTATGAGTCTAAATTATATTTGTCTAAATTATATTTCTGACTTTTTTTAAATGAAAAGGTGGATCTGTAACTTTTAGGAAAAAAAAGCAGCAAGGTTATTGTACTGTTAAGCCTTATAATTCATATTACTATGAGTACATTTTAAGTATCTCAATTTAGAATTATATTCTTAAGGGTGACTCTTTAAATGAGATAATACAAAGATTGTTTGATTTCTTTAAGGGTTTCATTGGCTCTCCTGGAGAAGTAGGACAACTGGGACCTGAAGGAGAAAGAGTAAGTGTGTTTCCTTCAAATATTATTTATGATGTGGTATATTTAGGGTAAAGTATAACAGTGCTGATAAACCCAGATGTCAGGTAATCTTACGGAGTGAAACAAACCAGCTTTAAGAAAAATTAGACGATATTTTCATTCTATCATGCAAAGAATTGAACTGTTTCTTATTGACCCAAAGGAGTCACGGTTAGTCCCCTACCTAGAAAAAGGTGCTGTTCTGTAAATACAGTTTGTTTGTAAATCCAACAGAGTTAGCCTAGGTACCCAACTAACACAGTCAGCTGTATAGTACTGTACTGTAATCATTTTTTTTTTTCTGTAATCGGTTTTTAATACTTTTCACACAAATAGTACATTGAAACAAACACAAAATAAAAGAGTTTTAATCTTACAGTACTATACCTTGAAAAATATAGTCATTCAGTACAACAACTGGTGTACAGGCCTGGCATAGAATGAACAGGCAAGAAGAATTACTTGCTGGAGGAGGGAGAAGAGGTGGGAGATGGTAGAGCTGAAGGATCATCAGCAGTAGGAGATGAAGGGCAAGCTGTAGCTTCTCTCATGACTATGTTGATGGCATAGGTTTTGGTTCCTTGCTGGAACCAGATGCACATTCACATCTTTGAAAGTTTGCAACTTGAAGGTTCATATATAGGGGACTTACTGTATACAGTTTACATTATTAATAACTCTGCTGCTTATGATGCAGTCCTTTCCAGACCTGTTGGCATGCACTTATTTCTAGTAATTGATGTACTAAATAAGCCAAAGTTATATGTTCTTTAAAAATGTCATCAACTTGGATTTAAGGATCCCAGTGACACTGACCATCAATAGGCACAATGTCCTCTTTCTTGCTCATCTTTGAACTCTTTTTTTTCAGTAGATATATTAGATGAATATTTTTGTCAACCACTGTTCAGCTGAAAGTAAATGGATTACTTCAACCGTTGATATCTGCTAACTTACCTGCATATACAAAAACCCCAAGCTACATAGTTCTGACAGATTTCTTAGTCTCAAGGGCTTATAAAAGTGATTATGTCTCAAGAGATTGTATCAAAAAGTATGCTTTAGGTTACAAGTGACAAAAAATTTCATTTCAAACTGACTTCAAAATGAGGAGATTTTAAATAAATGATGATAACAGCAAATGATTTGTTGTAATGGTTATATATGTGCAAGTCACTATGTAAATACTTCATATTTGTTCATTTAATCTTGCAATACCCAGTGAGACAGTATTATAATTCTCACTATATATGAAGAAAATGAGGCACCCAGAGAGATTTACCTAAGACTATACACAGATAATAGAATGAGAATTTAAACATAGATATTCTAGCTCTAAAACGTGAGTACTTGAGTACTGTCTCCTGCCACCACTTCTTATAACCAGAAACACACAGGTAGGTGGAATCTAGGTACAGTGTGATCCTGTGAGCACAGTGAGATCATCATTTTCTCCACTTTGCCTTAACCAATGTTGGCTTTATCATAAGACTGATTTCTCATATGATTGCAAGATTCCCAATGCAAGGGCTAAATATGCCTTTGTTTATTCAGCCAGAGAAACAGGGAGACAGGCGGTAATTGTCTGCTGGGTACAGAAAATAAGACTCCTGTTTGTCTGATTGTACCAACTTTGGTTGCATACTACCTCTGGACAAATAATTATCACCAGAGGAATGGCAGGATCCCATTTGGAAATACAGATGGGATGGATTTCTGAACAAAAATCAAGGTTTTGTTATGAAGAAGAAAAGGGGCAACTTGAATTAAATTAGTATATTGACACTCTTCTAAATATCACTGCAGTTTAAAATATAATGTATTTTTCTCTTTGTCATACTCCATAAATTGACATTTGAAAAAATAACTCATTGATCTGATAAATATTTACTTTTTTGAAGTATAGCTGATTTTACAATATTTTAGGTACACAGCATCTTGGTTCAATATTTTGATGGATTATACTCCATTAAAAGTTATTACAAAATAATGGCTATATTTCCCTGTGCCATAGAGTATATTCCCTAGTGCTTAGGTATTTTAAACATACTAATTTTTATCTCTTCATCCCATACCCCTATCTTGCCCCTCCCCCCTTCCCTCTCTCCATGAATAACCACTAGTTTGTTTTCTGTATCTGTGAGTCTATTTCTGTTTTGCTATTTATATTTGTGTGTTTTATTTTTTTAGATTCCACATATAAGTGGAATATTATACTGTATTCATCTTTCTTTGACTTATTTTACTAATCATAATATTCTCTAAATCCATCCACTGCTGCAGATGTCAGAATTTAATTTTTTATGGATCTATGATATTATACACACACATATACACACACATAATATATGTGTATTTATATATACGTACACACAGATATATTTATCCATTCATCTGTTGATGGACCGTAGGGTTGCTTCCATGTCTTGGCTATTGTAAATAGTGCTGGTATGAAGATGTCTTTTCAAGTTAGTGTTTCCCAGTTTAGTGATTCCCAAACTGCTGAATCATATGTAGTTCTGTTTTTAGTCTTTTGAGGAACCCCATTACTGTTTTCCATAGTGGCTGTGTCAGTTTATACTCCCACCAACAGTGTAGAAAGTTCCTTTTCTTCCATGTCCTCGCCAACATTTGTTGTTCGTGTTGTTTTTGTACTAACATTGGTGGCCATTCTGACAGGTGTGAGGTGATAGCTTATGTAGTTTTGATTTGCATTTCTCTAATAATTAGCAGTATATAGCATCTCTTCATGTGCTTCTTAGCTAACTGTATGTCTTTGGATGCTGGGAAAATTGGGCAGCTACATGTAAAAGAATGAAATTAGAACATTTTCTTACACCATTCACAAAAATAAACTCAAAATGGATTAAAGACCAAAATGTAAAACTTGAAACTGTAAAACTCTTAGATGGGTACATAAGTACCCATAAGTGTTCTACATAAGTAGAACACTCTTTGTCATAAATCATAGCAGTATTTTGGGGGAACTGTCTCTTAAGGCAAAAGAAATTAAAGCAAAAATAAATGAATGGGACTTAATTAAATGTACAGGCTTTTGTACAGCATAGGAAACCATCAACAAATAAAAGAGACAACCTATTGAATGGGAGATAATGTTTTCAAATGATATGACTGACAAGGAGTTAATAATATCTAAAATATAAAAATGGTTTATGCAACCCAGTGTAAAAAGAAACAACCCAATCAAAAAAGGGAATAAGTATTTAGTTTTGACTTTTTTACATTCTAGGGTGTTCCTGGGATCCGTGGAAAGAGGGGGCTTAAGGGAAGACAGGTAATTAGATTCTTGTTTTATGAAGTTTGGTTTAGAGGAATATAATCTAATTATATGTATGTTTCTCACCTGTTAAGCTAGCTAGTTGTTGTTCTTGTCATGCATAATCCATCTCATTCAACAGAGTTTAAATTTTGCCACTTTAACAGCCTATCCAATAATACCTGAGAATATGAAGAAGTATTTAGATTAAAAAGTAACTTGGAATTTAACACTTCTAACCCATTTACTATACCACTGGAAGAGACCTTTATCCTTACAGTGGTGGTTTAGTCGCTAAGTCATGTCCAACTCTTGAGACCCTATGGACTGTAGCCTGCCAGGCTCCTCTGTCTATGGGATTTTGCAGGCAGGAATACTGGAGTGGGTTGCCATTTCCTTCTCCAGGGAATCTTCTGGGCTCAGGAATTGAACCTGGGTCTCCTGCATTGCAGGTGGACTCCTGCATTGCAGGTGGATTCTTTACCAACTGAGCTACAAGGGAAGCCTTATGAGAAGGTCCTAAAATTAAAATGTTACAGAAAATACATGGACAATTTAACACACTAATAACATCATTGCTCACCCTTCTGCTTTACGGCTTTTTAAAATGCCCATTTGAGATGCTAGCTCAGAAACTAGGTTCTTATATATTTAGATTTTTTTAAAATCAAGTGAATTTTGCCTGGTAATATAATTTAAGAGATGGTTAAAAATTGTGACATTATCTAATACCTCTATATTTAACAAGTGAGAAAGTTGTGGTTTGGAGAAGTCTTCTTGGGTTATCCTGTCTGTGTTCGTATACCTAATTTGTACATGGTGTTAGTGACTCAGTTGTGTCCTATTCCTTGCAACCACATGGATCCTGCCACGCTCCTCTGTACATGGGATTCTCCAGGCAAGGCTACTGGAGTGGGTTGCCATTCCCTTCTCCATGGGATCTTCCCAACCCAGATACTGAACCCGGGTCTCCTGCATTGCAGGCAGATTCTTTACCCTCTGAGCCATGAGTGAAGTCCAGATAGCTAATTAGCCACCCGCTTTTCACTTGTGCTGTTTTTATTACAATTCAGATATTTATTAAGATAAGACATTGTGTGCTACACTGTGCTCTCTACTCTATGAGGAAGAAAATTGTCTTTCATAACACCTTTTCTAAAATTTTGATGTAAATATTGGGTTGGCCCAAAAGTTCATCCAGGTTTTTCTCTACACTGTTATGGAAAAAATCAAACCAACCTTTTTGGCCAACCTAGTAATTAAAGTCTTACTTGTAATGTTAAAGGATTGCAATCTTACCAGAATATTCATATCCTTTTAAAGAATTTTATTCTTTGAGCTTTGCGTTATTTCTTATAGATTAGAATAGGTCAGTGTCACCATTATATGGATGAGGACAACAAGGCCAGTGATATTAAAAGTCTTGCTCAGGATCACATAGTTATAAGTGGTCAAATAAAGAATTGAACCCAGCTCCTTTGAATATAAATCCAGCAGCCTTTTTCTTACTACTTAGATATTTCTACTGTCTATCTTCTACCACCTACTACTTAGAAGAACACAGTTTATTTTTTATAACATAAGGCCAAAATAATAAACTTGAAGTTTCACTTTAATGAGTTTAATATATTAAGATAAACTTATGAAACTAAGAAATAAAAAGTGAGGCAATCATTTTGTTTTCTTGCAATTACATTCAACATTAAAGCTAATTTTGTAACAGTTATAACAGCAGAAGCTGTACCATCACCATTACCATCATCACCATTTTTTATCTGCAAGCATATTATTTCTTTACAGTTTATCCCTCATACACATACTCCATCAGAAATACCTCTCATGTGTCAAAATTCTAATCTAAATATGCAGATATATGCTGTCTCAAAATTTGTATTAGGTGAAGTTTATCTTCTTTATTCTTCTCCATTTTATGTCTTATTTTTTTTCATCCATTCCCCAGCAAAGTATGCTGTCAGTAAAAGAACTAATTAATTTATTTATGCTTCTATATTACTTCCAGTGCTTAAACTGTTACCTTCAGTTCAGTTCAGTTCAGTCGCTCAGTCGTGTCCGACTCTTTGTGATGCCTTAAATCACAGCACGCCAGGCTTCCCTGTCCATCACCAACTCCCGGAATTTACTCAGACTCATGTCCATCGAGTCGGTGATGCCATCCAGCCATCTCATCCTCTGTCGTCCCCTTCTCCTCCTGCCCCCAGTCCCTCCTCCCAGCACCAGGGTCTTTTCCAATGAGTAAACTCTGCATGAGGTGGCCAAAGTACTGGAGTTTCAGCTTTAGCATCAGTCTTTCCAATGAACATCCAAGATTGATCTCCTTTAGGATGGACTGGTTGGATCTCCTTGCAGTCCAAGGGACTCTCAAGAGTCTTCAAACACCACAGTTCAAAAGCATCAATTTTTCAGCGCTCAGCTTTCCTCACAGTCCAATTCTCACATCCATACATGACCACTGGAAAAACCATAGCTTTGACTAGACGGACTTTTGTTGGCAAAGTAATGTCTGCTTTTTAATAAGCTATCTAGGTTGGTCATAACTTTCCTTCCAAGGAGTAAGCGTCTTTTAATTTCATGGCTGCAGTCACCATCTGTGGTTATTTTGGAGCCTGAAAAAATAAAGTCTGGCACTGTTTCCCCTGTTTCCCCATCTATTTCCCATGAAGTGATGGGACCAGATGCCATGATCTTAGTTTTCTGAATGTTGAGCTTTAAGCCAACTTACCTATTAATAATTATATTTTTAAAATAGTTTAAGGCAAAATAAGTAATCTTTAATGGTGAAATTTTAGGTATTGCTGAGAAAATATTTTCTCAGAGTCTCAGTGTTATATCACTTAAGTGGCTACCATCTTTATTAATTTAGCTGGTCTTATATAAATTTTAACTTAATCTTGACAATGTATGAGTATTATTCACTTTCCTACTCCATAATGAACTGTATAATTGTCCATAGAGGTTTGTAGATAACTTCTGGTTTCTTACTCCATAGGGAATTATAAAATTATCTAATATGCCATTGAGTTCAAAAGAGGAGTTGAAGAAAATTGTGGAAAAATAGTGAAAGGAGTGATCACTGGGTTCTTTTTTTAAAGTTGTGCTCTTCTTTACATTACACATTTTTTGAAGTTTTGTTGCTTTAAAAATATATGCCTTTGTAAGAGATTTAGATCTTTGGAAAAATTGTATTCAAAAAACATATGTATCCCATTTTTCCTAAATGGTATTTATTATAGAAAATCTGTCTAGTGTTTTACTGTGTCATGTGTGCTTTTTCTTTTTAACCAAAAAAGTGATTTGACCATGTTTATGAGGAAATCACTGTACTCAAAACTAAGATACAGTTGCAACCACAAGTAAAATTATGCCAAGATTGACCTCAGCGACTGTTGCAGAATATTATCCTATGCATAAAAGCTCCACTATTTTCTGTTTACTTTAAGTAAAATCATCTTCAAATAGCTTTGACATTAAGTAAGGGCAAATATATTAGCATGGGGTATTATGTATCATGGGGCACATATTTCAATTTAGATGATTAAAATTCCATGAGAAGAATGGTTACTTATTACAACTTTAATAACAGTAAATGGAAAATATCTTTTGATACCATTTCTAATCTCTTTGATGTGGAAAATGTTAGCCATGTTAATACAAACATGGCCATTATCTCTTGGTAATTTATTAAATTATGTATGCTATTTGTTACATGTGAGGTAGATATTCAAATGCAGAAGCAGAATTAAACAATCCAGGCCAACATAAAAAGCTGACAGAAAGCATACACGTGAAAGAAAATGCAAAAACCTGGAAATGCTGAAATCTAAAAAGAATCTATATTTAAGAAATTTTTGGCTATGCATATGTCAAAGACTGTTACTTGCAATTTTCTACTGATTTCATAGCTACTTAGAAGGGTGGATTGATGCTTCATTAAGGTACAGCTATGTTGAGCCCATGTTTTTTCATTTACTGTCCTTAAGTATGAATAAGATGTACCTTATTGTATTCACCACTCCCTTCTAATTAATTTAATTAGTCTTACATTGTAAATGAGCTTGTTTCCTCTAGTTTTATGTAGATACAATTACCCAGTCTTTGCACATAGAATATGATAGAATATGGTTCAATTTTTTAATTGAAGTATAGTAGATTTACAGTGTTAGTTTCAGGTATATAGCAAAATGATTCCCTTATACATATATATCTATATTCTTCTTCAGATTCTTTTCCATTATAGGTTATTATAAGATATTCACTATAGATCCCTATGCTATACACTGCTTCCCTGGTAGCTCAGACAGTAAAGCGTCTGCCTACAATGCGGGAGACCTGGGTTCGATCCCTGGGTCGGGAAGATCCCCTGGAGAGGGAAATGGCAACCCACTCCAGTATTCTTGCCTGGAGAATCCCATGGATGGAGGACCCTGGTGGGCTACATTAGTCCATGGGGTCACAAAGAGTCGGACACAACTGAGCGACTTCACTTCACTTCACTTAGTATTCCATTATATTCATGTATGCATCTGTATATGTGTATATATATATATATATATATATATATACACACACACACAAACACATTCATACATACATACATATCACATCCTTATCCATTCACCTTGTCAGTGGGCATTTAGGTTACTTCCATATCTTGGCTATTGTAAATAGTGCTGCTATGAACATTGGAGTGCATGTATCTTTTTGAATTAGAGTTTTCATCTTTTTTGGATGTATGTCCAGGAGTGGGGTTGCTGGATCATATGGTAACTGTATTTTTGTATTTTAAAGGCACTTCCATGCTATTCTCCATAGTGATTGCACTAGTTTACCTTCCTATCAACAGTGTCAGAAGGTTTTCTTTTCTCCACACTCTCTCCAGTGTTTATTGTTGGTGGACTTTTTGATGATGGCCGTTCTGACTGGTGTTAGGTGATACCTCATTGTAGTTTTGATTTACATTTCTCTGTTAATTAGACATTTTGAACATCTTTTCATGTGCC